ATAAGGCTCTTGACTGATTGCTGAATCCCATATAGACTCTAATTCCCCTATGTTTGTGACAATTAAAAACAACAGAGGAAAGAAGACTGGAGTTCTATTCACAAGACTAGGCTTTCACACAGAGATGTTAGACCAGGCGCTTCCTCCCAGTGCAGACAGAGAGATCCAAACAGTGTGTCAAGAACCATACCACAGGAGACTTAAGCCCTGGGTGCCAGGCGACACCAGAAAATAGGCAGTGCAACCCATTACAGAGAAAAGGAAGCGGTCAGAAGAAAAGCAGCAATGTGAGGAGCTAAGTATAAATATGGATGCTGTATCATTTACCTTGCAATCTGGCAAGACCAGGAGCAAAGCACAAACTGCTCATCATGAAGCGCCCAAGGTTTTCTTTCATTCTCCTCCTGTGGCTAACTCCATCACCACGATCTGACTAGTAACTTCACATGTAGACCTCCCTGGGTTGGACGGCACAGGGAAATGAACAACAGAGACTGCACCTGTGCACTGACGTTTTATAAGCATGCCACCTTGGGCATGTCACTCTAATTGTCAGTCTTGTTTTCTACCACTGAAACAAACGCTGGCCACACGCCTCTCCATTCTGGGCTGTTACAAGTATTAAGATTAGAAACATGGCAGGGTTAGAAAAGTGCTCAGACATGTCCATAAACTATCTCAGTTAAATACAAATTATCTGGCCACTAAATATTTCAGAAGGGCAACTTGATGGAAATAACGAAAATTCAACACAGAATTTAACAAGAATTCCCACGTCACACCAATTTCTCATATAAACAATTAAAGGATTAATAAGATGTTCCTTAGGAAAGAAAGTACCTATAAACATGAAGCTCCTCCCCTATCACAGAGAGGATGACACTTTCTCAGAAGCAGAGACTGCTTTCCCTCTCTACCTCCAGGACCAGCACAAAAGCCCAGCATGGAAAGCTATCCATAAACACATAATTAATGTCCAAACGCCAAAACACTGTAACTCACCTTCACTAATAATACACTATATAAAACTCAGAAATGGACTACCTAAAACTGAGTCATCATATCTATTTTCTTACAAAAACATAGCAAAAAAATTAAAAATATAAAACTGATAACAGAAGAAAAACAATTAACATCTAACCACACCCCCCTCTGGATGCAGCACAGAATCACACATCATAGCATGAAGGCATCCCACTCAAACACAATTTGGAGATTCTCCTTGCTTTACTAGGCTGACAACATTCAGGCAAATCAAAATTGTTTTCCAAAGGGATCTCCCAAAATAAAATGTTAAGCCACTGTGTCTTATAGCATGTGCATTCCTATGTTTATGCATTTCCCCTTTATACATCTGAATGCCCCACATATATCCTAGCACTTGAGATGTAATGTTAAAAAAAAAAAAAAACTTATTTTGAAATACCAACAAAGAACTTTATGAATCTGAACAAAAATAGACCACACTTCCTCCTGTAACCAAAACTAAATGTGACTTGGCAGGGAATGAGCTACCAACCATATATTACATCAGATAATTAAAACAGTGTTATGTCATCTTATTTAATGGTTACTTGGCTTGGATTGAAAACCATCCAAACCAATACTGAAGAGTTGGATTAAATTACAATGCATAGACATTTCTTCAGATGTTTTTAGTAAGAGTCAGCACAACTCCTACTAGCAGACAATACTCCTACGCAACAATATTCTCATCTCCAATGAACCTCCTTAGCAAGAGACACAATGTCAATTCACCCTATAGGCACCTGGGTCAGGGGTGCCCTGGGAGGCAGGCAGTGGACACAGAATACCAAAACCTATTTGCTTTGATTCCATTTTAGCATCAGGTAAACATTAAATTTTTGTTAGAGAAACAAATTCAATATTTAAGGGAGGTAGAAGAGAACCAGTTATCCTGAGAAATAAAAATAAAATCAGTAACTAATGCCCATCATGAAACACGAATCTGGGAAAAGTAAAAAGGTCAACCTATACTGAATAAGAGCACATCTCTTGATGTCATCCATCATCCAGCTCAAGTCTTACGTAAAGATTATTAGGAAAAAATAATTTAGCCAGAAAGTTGATCGATGTTTATGAATACTGAATATCAAAACATGATAACTCATTTGTTATCTCATTACATCTCATTTATTATTTTCATTACCATAATTTGCTGATTTGTAAACAAAAATACTGGTAACAGGCAGGCTTTAATTTAAAAGCGCCTGTTGACCTGATATTAAAATCCTGTGCTCTAATGAACATTTGTTTTGTCAAAGACGACAAGTACAGGAAAAAATTTTTAAAACTCAGGATAAGTTTTCCTAAAGACACACATTATTTACCTTATGTTAAGTCTACCAGGAACAATCATATTAATTTCACTGATTTCTACAGGGTTTTTAATTAGCATGTGCAAAGTGCTTCATTCTGTCTTTGGAGGAAGACACAAGGACAATGACCTCAGAGAAAGACAAGTTTGGGAACAAATTGGGGGTAGTCTAAAGCCATATAGCTGTCTCCCTGGGAGACACCAATATCTTGACTAACAGAAATGTTAAGTATGAGATGGAACTAGATGCATGTGTCAAAGTGCCTTGGAAATTTTAAAACACTAAGGGAACATAATGTTGTGTCACCATTTGGAGATGTTAACTGCAAAATATATCTACTACGTGTCACAACACAGTAAAATGAAAGTTCAGAAGGCTGACCAATCATCACTTCAAGATTTTTAATGCCAGCATAAGATTTAATGCTGGGATAAGAATAACTTCTGGGGAAAAAGGACTTTCCTTAGAGGAAAACATAAAAACACAGCTAAATGAGAATAAAAGTCCTTTCATATAGGCAATAACAGGATGCTCATCAGATATAAAATCAAACTTTCCTAACTAACATTCAAAGTCTGTCTTCAGACACTATGCTTTAGAAAGGCACTTGTAATTTTGGAGTTATGTAACAGCATAATTAATATTTTAAATGACAGAGCTTTGCATTCTGGATAGCAGCCTAGAATTTAAAGGAAAACATTTAGTTCAAAGCCATCTAAATTAACAGCATTAACAGGAACATCTCTCCCTTCAAATGGGAGAGATGCACTTCTTACAAGAATTACACTTGTGATGAAAAGTAAGGTAATCAAGCCTAACACCCCCAAATCACTAAATGGCAACATTTCCCCAATATCAGTTTAAAGTAAGTAGAAGCCATTATCACTAGTAAGAAGAGAAACCAAAAGAAGTGTGAACCATATTACCAACAAAATACTGTGGCAACATGGCACAGAAAATAATGCTGACTTTTGCAGTAAGATAATTCATTACACTTTTAGTTAAACTGGTTCCTTAATTGAGTATACTGTAACTTTGATTCAGCTTCTTTATTAGGAAAACTGCACTTGATGCCACTGTCCAGAATATTTCTAATGCTAATGATCTCACACAATGTACAAAGAAATTTCTTTCACAGGGCTGACAGCCCAGCAGGCAACAAAAGATATATGTAAATCATAAAGAGCAAGGAGTACAAACCTAACTGCAGAACTGCTCAGAAGGGCATGGGAATAAAACTCACATTCTTTTTCTCTTAATTCAGGAACCTGTGCCCATTGCTTTTTCAAAAGCCCTTTTTATTAAAGAAATAAGAATAAACATTCAATGAAAATAAAATGGGAGAGCTCTATGAACCTATTTCTGTTCTACAATCCAAATATGCTTAAATTGTTGGAGACGGCCAGAGTCTCTCCATGAGCCCCACCAGTCAACAGCTCAAGCGCTACTTCTACTTGGTAGAACTGGCTTCAATAGGTACCGGAGGTCGTAGTTTCAAAATCTAGTGCCCATATACAAGAATATGTCTGCCTTGTCTTTCACTTCCAACAACAACAAAAGGCAGGGCCAACAATAGGAGCAGAAGCCCCGATTTAAATAGGGGACCATAGACTGTCACAGCACAGAGTGATTCATGCAAATGGTGACAGATCTGACCAGATAATATTTCTGTCATTTCCCAGAGAAAAGCAGCCCAGTGTCGCCAGCCCATCTTCATCTGAAGGGCAATGCCAGATACAGGAGTAGTGGACTGCCCCCGGCAAGGAAGGCTAAGTTACCGTCCATCCCTGCAGAGGATTCAGGGCGCCAGAGCAGGAGCACGCCAGAGGAACCCTGTCCCGGTAGGCGTGCCCCGTACACCCAGGATCCCGTGCTCAGGCGCTTCCCCGTGCCGGTCACACCGCGCTGTGTGGCGGAGTGTGCGAAAGGCACAGACGGCACCGGCTCCTCTGCCTGAACCCCAAGACAGCCGCCAAGGGGGTCGCCCACCCGGCGCTTCCCAAAGACTGGAGGACAAGCCCAGAAGGGCTCCCGCCGCCCGCTGTCGCTCCGCCGCCGAGGGCCGCCAGCGAGCCGGCTGAGCACGCGGCCCGGGAGCGCAGCCTGCCCCGCCAGGGCAGCCACCTGCGCCGGGCACCCGGAGGGCGGGCCGGGCACTGGGCTTCCCCTGGGACCCGGCCTCATTCCTCCCCCGTGCGGGAGGTCTGACCCGAAGCCTCTTCCGAGGTCCCCAAACTTCACTAACAACCCAAGCACCTGTTCCCTTCGCTCCTCTGCATCTGATCCCCTCACGTCCTTCCATTTTCCTGCAGCTCTTTCTCCAGCTCCCAGACAAGCCGAGCGCCGGTTCCGAGTCCCCCCTCCCCTCCAATGAGATCATTCAACCTCCTCCCCACTGAGCCCCCACCCAGAAGTTTCCCCTGGGTATCCCCGAGTCCCCAAAGATTCCCAGCAAGTCCTGTCCCGACGCCCCAGCCTCCCGCGTCCTCCCCGAGCCCCAGGTGCGCCGCCACTCTTCCCCAGGCGTCCCGCCTTCGCCCGGGCCCCGCCCAAACGCCTGGCGACCGGGTCACCGCGGCGCCCCGAGTCCTCGCACGGCAGCCCGGGCCTCTGCCTAGGCGACCCGCAGCCCCGCGGGCAGCTGACAACCGGCGCCCTCACCTTGGTTCACCAGGCGCAGGGCGTGCGTGAAGGAAGGGTCCAGCGAGTCCTTCTCCGCCATCAGCTCCGGCAGGTACTTCTCCTCCATGCTCGCCGGGCACCCGGGCCCGGGACGCGGCCCCGCAGCCCGACCCGCGCGCGCCCCAGGGACGCGGACCCGGCCAGACGCCGCGGAGGCGGCCGAGCCCGGCGGGCGGGCGGAGGCGCGGGGCGGGCACCGGCCGCTCAGCCCGGTCCCCAGGCGCCCGAGAGCCCGCGCGGGCAGCCGCCGCCTCCGGGACGCGCCCCGCGCTGCGGGCACCGGCGCGGTCAGGCGGGCCTCGGGCCGGGCGCGCGGCGCGCGGAGACCCCGACGCAGGCAGCCCCGCTCGCCCGCCAGCGGCGCCGGCCCCGAGCTCCGCCGCGACCCGCTCCGCGCGCCGCCCCGCGCACTCTGAGCCGCCGCGCGAGCGCCCCGCGCCCGCGCCCCGCCCGCCGCGCCGCGCCTGCGCGCTGTCGCCCAACCGCCCGGCGCGCGCCGCCTCGCGGGCCGCCCCGGCTGCACCGTGGGCTGGGCCGGCGAGGAGCGCAGGCCGCCGCCCGCCCCAGGCCGTGGGCGCGCAGAGCCCCTGGATACTCTCAAGGCCTCGCCAGCCGCGCAGGCCGGGAGACCGAGGCCCGGAGAGGTCGGGTGGGGCGCCCAAGGTCACCCAGCCAGCGATCCCGGGCGGCGGGACAAGGGCCGAGCCGAGAAGGGAGCCCCGGGTTCGCCGCAGCGGCTTTGGGGAAAGACAGCGGACGCCCTGCTCTTTACAGCTCGCTGGACTTCCCCAACTTATGTCGCTTTGCTGTCCACCGATATTTGCCAGAAAATGCCGCCCCGTCCTTCCCCCATGCCCGGGCTCTGAGCGCCATCCTCCTGAGACCCGTGGCGCCGCCGAGGTCGGTTACATAAACGCGCGCGCCCTTCAGTGCGCCTTTGTCATCCACGACTCGCTCCGCGTTGTCATTCTCTTCCGCCAAAACAGCTGTGCCTGGGCTTGGATGGGCGAGCAGCGCCGAACTGTCCCCAAGTGGACACGCCGCACGTGGGTGGTGGAGTCCTCAGTCGCTGTCTGCTTACCCACCCAACCGCCAGCAAATGCTCCCCCAGCCCGCTGCAGTTTTTCCGAGGGGTGTGGAGTAAATGTCTACAGCCTCTCAAGGACTCCCCAGTCCTTGTGCAGACTCTTCTTGCCCTTAAATCCCCACCTCAAGTCCTGTGCTCAATGTCATCTCTGGATAGCATTCCAGGACTTCCCAAGTACAGCTGGTCACTTCTCTATCCCTACAGAGGTCATTTCACAGAGAGCTACAAATTCTCTACTTTCATTAAACCAAGAACATCTCAGAGGCAGAGGTAGAGTTTTAGGGTTCGGGGGTTGAAGGTGCTCGAGACAGGTGTGGGGGACACCACAAATATTTGTCGAAAGAGTGAGGTGGGGCATGCTGCTCTAGCCAGTGGCCTGGGGCCAAACCTCATGGCACTGAGACAGCCCCTGTGCTCTGAATCTCTAAGGAGTCCAAGGTGCTCAATTCCACCACCAGCCCCAGCCAGCTGTGGCCTTTCAAGTACCTGATGCCCTGCTCCAGCCTTGGTCTGACCTGATTCTAGGTGAGGTGCCACTTCAAAGTCCCTAATAAGAATAAGCCTCATGCATCTCTTTGGTCTGAACTTCCAGAGAAAGTCAAAAGAGAAGGTTAAATGCATGGTGGTTGGTGCTGCTCAGCTGATTCTTGAGCAAGTTATGTCACCTGTGCCTCAGTTCCCTCATCTGTAAAGTGGAGAAGACAACCTATTTAACAAGAGGGTCATGATGATCAAATATGTTAACTCATGATGAAATACCCCGGTATCCAACACATAAAGAATGTTTAGCTGTTCTTCTCTTTTTCCTCTTAATGTCTGCTCTCGGGATCTGCACTCATCTTTCCTCCAGCTGTAACTCTCTGGGCAAACATCTCTTGTGGTACCCTCACTGCTGAACTGCTGGATGTGGAGCATGATCGCAGCAGACTAAGGGAGAATTAAGGACACCCGTTTCTGTCCCTGAGCCTAGAGGCTGGTAAGGCAGGAGGGTGGGTGGCTGCTGTCCAGCTCCACCCTGATGCTGTGCCAGCTTGCCAGCTTTGTTGATTAGCCTGAGGTCAGAGTATTAGATGTACACCTCCAATACTCAGGTTATGCCAGGAGTTCGGGAGGGCAGCTGGAAGATTCACAGGGAAATGTTTTCTCCTTTTACAACTGAATGGAATGCCATACCTCTGGCTTATATTACTCTCACAGAACTTGCATTCTAGAGTGTGATTCCCTGACAGCTGCTTGGAAAGGGAGGAAGCGGGGGGTGGAGAGTGTATGGGATGAGCCCCAGGAGAGGAAAATGGGGACCAGATGCTCAGCCTCTCCCCTGTGAACACTGGTCTGAGACTCTCTTTTCATACAGCTCTTCTCCCTCTACATCTTCCAATTAGACCTTCTGCCCCACTGACAGTCCAAACCTTGAGTAATCACTGTTTTTATGAAGCATTTACTAAGTGCCAGGCACTGGGCTAGCAGCTTTGCATACAGTTCTCTTGACATCCTGCAGGAAAGATTCTATTTATCACCCCTTACATAGCAAGGAACCAAGGCTGGGAGAAGTTTAATATTTTGCTTAATGTCCCACAGCTGTCAACGGGTGATCCCAGGACTGCCTGATGCTATCTCCCTCCTTCTCTCCCTTCCTAGTTCTGCCTTCCCAGGTGGCAATCAGGCACACTTGAGACTGGCTCTCCATCCCGCCCCCATGCAAACAGTTGGCAGAGTTGTCCCGCCAGCAGCTGGGGAGGAGGGTTGTATACCAGGAAGCTGACAGCAAAGGCATTGAATCTTTTGCTCCAGACCCTCCTTCTCACAGAACCTTCCAAAAGGGCAGGTGCCCAGCGCTGTGAATGCCCATACTAGGTCCTCCAGGGAGGAAGGAGACGGATGTCTCTGTGAGATGATCAGGAAATTGTCTCCACCTACCAACCTGGCTGAACCATTAGATGCAGGGCACCTGCACGCCTTGCTGCACACTCTGCTGGTGTGAGATTGCCATCCTGCATGCTCTAGCCCTGTGGTCCTCTTGAAAAGGAGAAAATTGAGTCTTGGGGAAAGTGATTTTCTTGTGAGCAGCTGTTGGTAGTCAAATGCAGGTCCTTGGCTTCCAGGCCAGAGATTTGTCCAGAGTCTACCAGTGCTCACTGAGCACCTACTATCTTCAAAGTCTGCTCTGGAAACAGGGGAGATAGCATGAACATAACAGACTTCTCCAAAGCCAGTCCAGGCCTAGGACACTGGGCCATTGTAGTTTCTGTCTGTATACTTGGTATCTACCCTGAACTCTATAGACCTTAAACTGCCATAAGGAACTCAGGCTGCCTTGTCCCCAGATCCATGTCAGCAGGAGCCTTTCGGTCCCTGCAAGAGAAGGGGCACCTCCCAAAACAAACTCACCCATCATCTCCAGGCCACCTCAGGGACCACAGCAAACCCCCAGCCCTAACCAGCCACCACCACAGCACTGTCCTTCAGAATTCTCAGCTGCCTCTATCTCCCACAGTCTTAGGGAAAGACACCAAGCACAGTAAGTCACCAACTGCAGCAACAACTAGGAGTGATCAGAGGGTACACCAAATGTCAGGCATGTGCCTATGAGGTGGTTTTCCTGACTATTCAGGTTGCTGCTCACACCACAAGCTTCCCCTTCCTCTGGTAAACCTGACTCCAGTACTTCCACACCTGCAGCACCAGGGTGGGGAAGTCCAATTCTGACTGTGCCAAGGACCCAAGAAACTCAATTCATCTTGCTTCCTGGCTGTGCAAGCTTGCATTAGCCATCACATCTCTGGGCACAGGGAGAGGACAGGGAGAGATCTTTCAGGATCACTGAGTTCGAAGCTGAAGCTGAAGCCAACTTGCCATAGGCTCTAAGTCCTTTTTAAAGCTTTTTCACTTTCCTTCCTCTTGGCTCAATAATCTCTGAAAACTTACATTCAAAATACAGAACTATATATGGAAGGAAACTCAGATCAGACAGCTCACAACCACCAGTTTTTCCCGCATGTGCACACACACACACACACACAGACAAACGACTTACATATCACTCTCAATCTAAGGATGGGTGGAACCAGAGACCTTTGGGCCTTGTCACTCACACACCTAGAGACACCTAGCCTCCTGTCTCTCATGTGCCCTCCTCTCCTGATTTGATGCATGGCAAGTCCAGCTCCTCTTGTGACTGACCAGAGCCGGAGCCATCCTTCTGTTCAGCACTAAGAAACCACAGGTATTGCGCATACACCCCCTTGTGGCCAAGTTTGGAAGCGCATGTCCCCGAAAGTGTCAGCAGATAACCTCTGGGTTTGAGCTGTTTGTACTCCAAGGAAAAGGAGCCCCAGTAGGACTGCGATGCACCCCCAGGAGGAAGGATAGTGAAATGTGATCTTAAGTCAAAGAGAATGAAAAAGGGATATGGTAAAGACAAACGGGAAAACAAAAAACTAGAAGGAAAAAAGAGAACAAAAGAAGTAAAAGATACAGAGGAATAGAGAGATCTCGAGAATAAGGAAAGCTGAGAGGAGCAGTGTTTCTCAGTGGTAAGCCTTTCTCTGTTTCAAAGGTAAACACGCAAAAGTAATAATGGGAAGCTTCTGACATGTCCAGAGTTAGCTGGCTGCCCCGCAGCAGCCAGGTGGGCACAGAAGAGCCAGGCAGGAGAGGGGAGAGGGACCCCAAATTTGACCCCATCACCGCCTGACCTGGTGATCTTTCCAGATCCAAACCTGTGTCTGTATTTCTGAGCTTGTAAAGGGTGGCTAACAACAGTTACTCTCTCCCTGTTTTATTGAGATCTGATGAGAACAATGAAGACTTGCAGAGAAAATCCTGCAAATTGCTCTGAGCTCTCAGATATAGCCACCATAGAAATGTATTTTATTATTTTCCTTGATGCAGCAGCCACCCCGATCCTTTGCTTCCTAGTCTAAAAGTTGATATGTGCTGCTGGACTGCTGAAGCACTTGCTGTAGTTCAACAATGCATCAGGTTATCACCACCCCTGGTGCTGTGATTTGAAAAGCACTGTTGAAATGTAAAACATTATTGCCAGAGTAGTAAAAATACCCATGTCCATCTCCTAACCCACTATTTCTTGTCAGGAAGCACAGAAAGATACACAATACAATTCCATCCGCATTAGTAGATTTTTTTTTTTTAACCGTAAAACTGCACATATCTGAGTTTGACAAAATAATCAGGAACAAAATATCTCTGGCAGTATCAAGTTACCCTCCATATTTGAACAGCTACCAAGGGGGTGATAAAGTTTTTAAAGTCCATTGCTAAAGTGAACACATCCGGGTCTCATATAAAAATGCTGGCTTGTGCTTGTGTTTTTCTTTAGTTAAAACATGAAGAGATAAACCTAATAAAAATGACTGTGGAAAAACAACAGATATAAAATTGAAGTTGTGTACTCTTGCAAGATCATTGAATTATAAAACAGTATTCCAAAACGAAAGTGAACCTATCAGTGACCATCTGTGGACTCCCTATCACTGTAGATTTCATTTACTTTGTGTTCTCTAACATGACACTAGCCTTCTCAATAATCTCAGCCATTAACCCTACTCTTCCTGTATTTATGCCAGGGCAATATATAACCCCTCATTTGTTGTTAGTGGGGAGAGAGGGAGGGTACTTTGCAATATTTAGGCAACCTTGCCAACTGCTTCCCCTCTCAGATGAAGGAATGCAGGAATGTGCAGGCTCAGAATCAACCCCTTTAGCTCTCTCTCCCTCCCTATTCTCACTGGAAACTGCTGCCTACTAACAGCAGCAACTTTCATTTATAAAAACCACACTGGTCTATGCAAAATTCCACATGGTAAGTTATCCCTGAATAATAAGGTAAGTTCTTCTGTACAATGGTACTCAGCATGTGAAGAGGGAATTCATTTTGCCACCCTAAGTCAGTGAGGCAGAAAGATGGAAGGAGTCTGGCATGGTAATGACATCTTGCAGCCACACACAAGCCCTGGGCACTTACTTTTGGGATAAGACAAGAACACATTCATTCAGTTAAGCACAGACAACTTCTCTTCCCATGAATCTCTTCGTCTCAGTACAGTTCAATACAATAGCCATTGGCTACATGTGGCTAGTGTGTGTTTTAAGTGGGGCTAGCATTAGTGAGGAACTATTTTTAATGTTATTTAATTTTAGTCAATTGAATTTAAATTTTAAAAAAGAAGCAGCATCCGATTTTTTTTTCATTAAATAAAATATTGTAGTTTTGGTCAGACCAAAACTATACTTTTTACTTTAACTATTGAAAACTTTTGCACTGGGTTAAGATGTGCTGTAGGTACAAAATACCAGTTTACAAAGACTTGCTGCAAAAAATGAGCAAAAAAAGTAAGTTCTTATTAATATTTTTAAGTTACTGATTACCTGGCTCTTTTCACAATGTTAACTGGCTTCTTAAAAACTTAGTTATCCAGGTGGCTCTCATTATTTTTCTTTGGGACAGTGCCATTTTACTGACACTCTTCCTTTGCTGTGCCCATCCAGGGCTGGCCTCCCACTGTACTGACATTGAACTCATGGAGATGGGAAAGACACCATCAATGGGGAGTGGTGCTACCTTCCCTTTACAAGTGGGGAAACAGAGGTCTGAAAGTGGGGACTTGCCCCAAGGCACCCAGCTGGCTAGGGGCAGGCTGTGTGGCTCCAATTGGTGGCCTTAGCCCTAGGTGCTCAAAGGAACTCCACTGTGGCCCCACATCTTAGAATGTAGCTGACTATGGCCCATGGAATAGGACAGAGGGGACAGTGGGACAGAGGACCAGGCTGCCTTCCTGCACAGGCTGTGTTTTCAGCGAGAAGTCAAATTTTCTGGCAAAAAACAGGGAGGGGTTCTGCCTCCCTCCCATACCTCCTATGTCTCAAGTTAGTGGTGGATGTGGGAGAACAGCCCCACCTAACGGAGGTGGGCCCCCAAAAGATCCGGGGACTAAACACCCAACCTCACTCTTCTACCCTCAGTCCACCTTCAGGTGCCTCCCATTGGCTGAGTCCAAAGGAAGCCTGTGCTCAGGGGAAGCTGACTGATGTGTTCCATCGTGATTAACCTCCCATACCACAGGATTGGGCTGACGGGTGGAGAGAGGATTCAGAGGGGCAAGAGGACAGTGGCCACACCACTGTGCAGTGAGCCACAGAAAACTATGTCGCCTTAAATATCCAGCTCTGACTGCTGGGTTGCTGATCGGGTTCTCTTTTCTCCTTTTGATGTTTGATGTCATATACACATGGCTTCTGGCTAAGTGGGCAGAGAGACAGAGAGGCCTCATGTGCCATAGATTCTCTCAGTGTGGGCACACACCTGTATTCTCAGCAACTAGGGAGGCTGAGGCAGGAGGATTGCAAGTTTGAGGCTAGCCTGGGCAACTTAGCGAGGCCCTAAGTGACATAGCCATACCCTGTCTCAAAAATAAAAAATTTTAAAAAGGCCTAAGGATGTAGCTCAATGGATAAACACCCCTGGATTCAATCCCCAGCACTGAATCAAACAAACAAAAAATCCCCCCCCAAAAAGGAAAGCATAGAGGTCCTTGAGTCGCCCAGAATTTCACACCATGCCTCTCTGGCTCACTGACCACATGACTTAGGCAAGCTCCAGGCTGCTCTGAACCTGCTCCCTAAACACTGTCCTGGGGGAAACGGCTGCCTTGCTGGCTGGTTGTGAACACTGAATGAAGTGGTGTGTTCCCTATACCTTTACCACCCCCTGGAAGCTAGAGACGCCAAGCAGAGACTTCAAGTTTTCCAGAGAGCAGGTATGGGTTCAAATATCAGCGCTGACTCTTGATTTTTTTATGTCTCTGCACTAATTAATTTTTCAGTTTCTTGGTTTTTTCATCTACAAATGAAAGGAAGTGGTCCCCACCATGTAAGGCAGTTATGAGCACTGAATGAGCTGTGACATGAAAAGCACTCACCGTCCCCCACTGTGGTGAAGCCTGAGTGCACAGGTGAGCTCAGTCCATGCGGGATCTCTTCCTCCTTCCCCCTAGGGAAGGGCAGGAATGGTCAGCACCAAGCCCATGGACAGCGCCCTCCTCACCTCCAAAAGCCTGGCTAGGGATTTCTTCTTTCCCCTTTATACATGAGAGGCAAGTACTTTGGACATAGCAGCAGGTACAAAGGATACAACAGGGTCCATACTGGGGGGCTCTTTGTCCTCAGAAGGAAATCACAGAAACCACACCCCCATGCTTTACCCAAGAAATAATGGGGCTTAGTCCAAGGATCGTGCCACTTGGTAGTTTAGATCACAGCCTAAAGAGCCTGCTTCTCGGCTGTGTGACCTTGAGCTAGTTACTTAATGTCTCCACACCTCAGTTTCCTCAATTGTGCAAAGAGAAAACTGTGCAACCTCTTCACTGGGTTACTATGAGGACGATTTTTAAGTTAAAATCCGAAAGTGTTTAGGATAGGATGAGGCACATAGGAAGTGCTTTATAAAGGTTTCTTAAATAGACAAAACAATCTCAATTCAGTAAACAATTTTTCCCAGTTGATTGATTTCCTTAGTGTTGGGTTCTGGTTTAAGAGCCAAGGTCAAATCAAAACTGCATTTGTCCAGGAAAGAGAAAGAGTTTAAGTCAGCAAAATCAAGAGGTCATTTATTGATACAATTCACTCAGATCCACTATTTAGCATTCCATAGCCAAAGAAGATTTTGTTTTGTTTTTTTTAATCTCAGACAAAACAAAGCCCTGCCAAGACTCCCTGATCATGGACAACAGCATCTGTACACTGGAAATGGAATTCTGCTTCTCTTACATGTGACGTTGTCAGGTTATTTCGCCTTTCATGAGCCCCCATTTCTCTCTATGAAGTGGGGTGATTCCTGTATTAGATATCCCTGTGACCACAATAGCAACTCAGTAAGTGGAGTGGTTTCCTTCTGCCTTTCATCCTGAGACTCCCTGAATGACAAGGACTAGTTTGGGGACTGGATTCCAGGATGGTATCATCAGTTAATGAAGCATCAATGAATGTGAAACCACGTGTCTAGCAGGTTTCTTTTTTCTAGCTAAGCAATGTGCAATGATGCTTCTTGCATGTGTAAGAAAGAAGGCTCTTTTTCTACTTTGAAAGAAGGGCTAATACCTAAGAGCCTGTATAAGCTGAATTAGACCTCTTTCTGTTGCTGGACCTAATACCTGAGGATTTGTAAAGAAAAGAGGCTTACTTAGTTTATAGTTTGGAAATTAAAAGTCTCTGATCAGGTAGTCCCACCAGTTGAGCGTCTGGTGAGAGCCTGTGGCAGATGCCATCATGTGTGCATGCAAAAGAGATCAAAAGCAGACAGAAAGTCAGAGGGTGGGGAGAGGCAGTTTTGTTCCTTTATAGCAACCATCTTGCAAGACATAACCAGGGTTCCTTAAGAACTGCCTCAGTCCCTTCCAAGGGTTGTGCCCATGATGACCTGAAGACCTCCCACTTGGCCCCACTTCCTAAGGGTTCCACCACCCCTTAATACCACTAGACCAGGGACCAAGCTTCCAACACATGGCGTGACACACTCAAGCCATATCCAAATTACAGCAGAGGCATAGCAGAACAAACATCAACTTTAGAGCCCAGCTTTCCAGTTCCAAGATGTGTGATAGCCTGCATCATGTGACTTCACTTTACTAAGTCTCAGTTTCCCCAACTGTAAATACCTATACCACAAAAATATGGACGTTAAGTAATATCATATTTTAAAAATCGCTTGCATGCAGTAGGTGCTTAGCACATGATAACTGCTATGGTAAGTTCATGTGCTCCTTGAGAAAAAGTAGGCTTCTCATCAAATCAAACAGCCATGCAGAGTGGGTTTGGAAAATCCATACAAATTGCTCTTGCACTGATGATTTATTTTCTAGATTTCCTGAAACATAAGGAGGAATAAAACATCATACTCCAAAGAAATAATGGCACTTCTGCTGAAGAGCTTTTAAGTTTTAATGATCTGAGGGCAATTTCCTTCAAGTGAAGTCCACTCTGAACCCCAGTGCTGTAGAAGTTGCTTCTAAACAGTCCTTAAAACGCGCTGTGAGGCACAAGGTGAGTGGATGTTGCTGTCATTGAATAGTTTCTCCAAGGTGTTAAATTTGCCTTTTTGTTTTTGTTTTTGTTTTTTGGTACCAGAGATTGCACTCAGAGGTGCTTAACCACTGAGCAACATCCCCAGCCCTTTTTCTTTTTCTTTTTTATTTTGAGACAGAGTCTCACTATGTTGCTGAGGGTCTCACTAAGTTGCTGAGGCTGGCTTTGAACTCACAACCCTCCTGCCTCAGCCTCCCAAGCTGCTGGGATCACAGGTGCCGGCCACCACAGCTGTCTCACATTTGCTTTTATAACAGACCTCTCAATTATTCTGAATCCTTAAAACTTCCCCTGATAAAACATTCATCGTGTTGTGATGAAGTCGTCATTTCCTGGTACCTAGCCTAGAGACTGGGAGCTTTGTGAATGTTTGTCAGCTTTGAGTTTGACTCCGCGATGTGGGACAGCCACATTTTTCTGCCCTGGATGAAGTGGCCTCTCCAGGGCTCTGAGAGTTTCCCCATGCACATTGCTGTCCATCCTACCACAGGGCTATGTTTTTCTGGAGCCAAAGTCCATAGGCATGCAGCAAGTGTTATATGAATACCTAAACAAGTGACTCATCACTGTCATAGCCACGAGTCAGTGCCAGTTCTTTTCATGTCATAGGATAAAAGTGTACCTTAAACATGAGCTATTTAAACCCTGCATGCTTTCGTATCCAACATATTTATACTGGACTGTTATTTCCTGAGCTCTGATAGTTTCAAACACCAAGCAAAGGAAAACTAGTTATAAGTAACTAGTTTCAGCATTCAGAAAAAGTTATTTATAGCTAATAGAGAACTTTTACGGGGGTAGATGTGGGGCAGGCTTTACGACAGGGCATTCTTTCCCTGAACTCAAGAGAAGCATCAAGTCTTGGGGCTTTAACAACTATGAGTGTGAAAACAAGTGTTGAATTACTTAGTAGTGTGTTGTATATGTCAGGTCCAGAAAGGCTATTACCTTATAAAAAACTCCACATCTATTTGAGTAAAATTGAAATCCACGGGTAATGTTTTTTATCCTCCAGTAGCTGATACTTAGGAAGTTCAGGTGGTTGTCTGTTCCTCCACTACCTTAGAATTTGTTCAGTCATTCACAAATTATCGAGGACCACGTGCTGAGCACCGAGGGGGAGCATGTGGGGTCACCTCCTCTCCTCCCCTGGGGAAGGCGTGTTAAATGACTAAGCTCACGGGCCAGTATGGGACTTACTAATGGTGACAAACGCCCTGAGTGAGGAACAGCAGTGACCGCTTCCATCAGGTGGTCAGGAAAGTGAGGGGCTAGACAGGGTCACTTGGCCTCAGTCCTCATGGCATAGGTGGCAAGTGTGGCCAGTGCTCACGGCTCTTGGAGGGAGGCTGGGAGCAGACAGCAGGTGCAGTCGCCCCTGCCCCAGTACAGGCTGCTCCTCTCACCTGCTGTGTGCGCCACGCACCTGTCCCCCTTGGCCAGCTCATCTTCACAGAGATCGGCTGAGCCAGGGTGCTGCTAAGGTCTTTCTGTCTCAGGCAGTGCATGGACTTAATTTTTAAATCCACTCAGATGCATACCCCTCAAATATTTTCCTTTTTTTTTCCTGATGCAATTATAAATCATGGTGACTTCCTTGGGGAATTACTTTTATCCTTTACATCCATCTACCCATCTGTGTGTACACACACACACACACATACATGTTTTCTTGTAATATTTAAGAAACTCCATTCTTCTTCCACCACATGATTTATTCCTGAAATAGAACATCATGTTCACAGGTGCAGTTGCAAGACAAAACAATTGATTGAAGACCCATGGGGGTGAGATTGTGGAGAAGAAAAATACAGCCAGGTGAGCTATGCTTGTCTTAATATCTATGTAACCAGCATCTATATGCAGAAGAGCTTTCTGAAATAGTCTAAAATAATCCATATTTCATGAGGTAGCAGTGTCAATAGAATGGTATTGTCAATGGTCTGGTCACAGAGTAAGTTCTCTGCAGTCTGCAAGTAATTAATCAAAATTACACTTGAAGGTCTGTTGGCAGGGTCTCAACACCATTATTCTAACATGAAGTGCCTTTCTCATCATGCATCTGATCCTTCAGTGCCCCCGCCCTGTAGTGTGCCTGCAGAGAGACCCCCACGATGGGTGGAGTCATGGTGCCACAGCTGTACCTATCTCTGCCATGTGCCTCAGATCCCCCAATACTGTCTTCTTGCACTGACTCTCTTCTGAGATGTCCCCATGGTGGCCTCATCACCTTTCCCTCCCTCTCTTTTTCTTTCTTTCCTCCCTTCCTTCTGTTCTCCCTCCCTTCCTTCCATTCCTTCTATTTCTTTCTGTTCCTTCCCTCTCTCTCTACACCCACCCATTCTTGTCTCCCTCCAACCCCAAGTAGCAGAGCACCTCAGCATTTCAGGGGGACGCAGGAGCAGGGAAGCGTTGCCCCTTCTGTCCTTCCCTCTCCTCTTGAGCTGGCGGGGCTACAGAGCTCTGGACAGGATGACTCTCAGGCTCCACTCACCCAGACTGCAGCACCACAGAGGCTGTCTCCTCTCCCTGTCGCTCTGCACAGTGCCTGCATCAGCTCCTGGTGCCCTCCAGCCACTTAGACAACCAAGACGTAGAGCCCGATTTGAGCCAGGCTTGCTGCTGGATTAGGACTCTGATCTGGTCCTGCTGCTCTGTCTGGCTGCTGAGGAAATAGTCATTTGGGTGGAGATGAGGCTTCTCCTCTCTTGATGCAATGGGAAGTGTCAGGCAAACACCGCTCAAATCCTGACTTTTCATTCATAGGAACAGAGCAAAGTGGGACAAATCATTTCACGCTCATTCCTCCATGTCTTTATCTGAAAGGAGGGGTGCCAGTATCTCCTTGGGTTGCTGGGGGATGGAGATGGGCTCACACCCTGGTCTCTCTAGGCTCTGACACGTCAGGTGTTGCCATTTGCAATTGCTGCATGGCCTCCACCTGGAAGTGGAGGCTGTGGGTGAGACCCAGAGTCTTGCATTGCTCCTGAAGGTTCCTGCCCCTGCATTTGTTAAGCACCTGCTCCACCTACAGGCTCGATGCTCCATGGGATACAAGAACAATCTACAACAGGGCGGGAGCCCTTAAGGAAACAACCCTCTACTGTTTGGGTAGATCATTTAATCCATCTCATTATTTGGTAACAAACTGGGCCAGCTGCAAGCTCCCCTGGATGCCAATGGAAAGAAGGGTAGAAACAGTTTAGTTCAACAACCTGCCTTCGTTTTTCTGGAACATTGGTTAAGAAATAAGAACAACTGCTGCCTCATCTTCATGGCCCATCACCGTACTAGGTAAGATAAGAAACCCACCAACTCTTTCCCACTTTCTCACAGGTTTAGAATCTGCCATCAAAGCCACACACCCATGTGCAGAATGTTGGCTGAACAGGAATCCCAGCTTCCTCCCAATGTCCTGCTTCTGAACGCACAGAGTGAGTGACCACACAGGGTGACACCTCTGGCCTTCCCTGCTTCACAGTCATCACTTATTCCCACATGCTTTGATTGACACACTCATTCAGCTGACATTAATCAGCTTCTCCCTTGTTCTGGGTGCCATTCAAGATGCTTTGCCAAATTACTGTCAACCCAGACAGCAAACCTGTAAGACAGTTACTATCACTCCCATAGTACAGATGAAGAAATGGAATCTCAGGTGGTTAGACGATAGGATCAGATCTACACCATTAGTGAGAAGCAGAGCCCTACTGCAGTTCCCAAGTAATACTCCTGTAAATAATAGTTGGCTTCCTCAGGATAACACAACTGTTATCCTAGCTACTCAGGAGGCTGAGGCAGGAGGATCAGAAATTCAAGGCCTGTCTCAGCAATTAGTGAGACTGTCTCAAAATGAACAATCAAAAGGGCTTGGGTTGTATGTAGCTCAGTGGTAGAGTACCCTGGGTTCGATCCCGAGTACTGCAAACACACACACACACACACACACACACATTGGTTTATTTATGGTGAGATGAGGGGCTGCCCTCCAAACCTGCACACCCTGCAGTTTTTCCCATCCCAGTCCAGATGCAAGTTGTTTTTTGTCATACTCTTCCCCCTGTCCTTCACAAGACCATGTTGCCTTTGCCTTCTAAGTTAAGTCCAGAGTTGAGGCCTCCTCCTTACCCACTGCTGCTGACTCAGCCATTCCCTCACCTCCCTGCTTTGGCCTCTGCTCTGGCCTCTGCCCCCTAGAGCATGTTCTCAACTCTGCAGCCAGGGGGCACTGTTGTAAACAGACACAGTCTGTGTCCATCTCCCAAGTCCCCCCACCTCCGTCAGAGTAAAGGTCAGTCCAGTCAAGGCCTGCAAGTCCTCTCTGGTCCCAGCTCCTATCATCAGGCCCTGTCCTGGCCCAGCCTTCACATTGGCCCTTCCTTCTGTCCCGACTTCTCCATTGCTAGAGCCCACTTGGCCTGTACTCTGCCTCTCAAACCCTTGCTTCAGTGCCATTTCCACCTGCTCTAGAGAAATTGAATGAGGCTGGCAGTTTTTGTCTTCTGTACTCTCAGATGTATTCCCAGTGCCTGCTGCATAATAGGTGCTTAATAAACATGTGTTGAATAAAGGAATAAAGCTGAGATGGGTGCTATTCAGTGTCATCAGCATGATATTGTGCCCAAGAAATGCAGGAACATCTGAATGTCAGATCATGGGCATTCTCCACGGGGGAGATCTGCACACAGGAGCTGTGGAAGGCAAGAGTTAATATAATACTTTATTACCAGCTGATATGGGCTCCAAACCCCTCAGCTTGGTCATCACCTGCAAGTCAAGGAAAGGTGTCTATTACTGCTTCTGCTGCAGGCATAAGGGAGGAATGAGAGGAAGAATTCATTCAGTAAGGAAAAGAGAAAGAAGCAGTAGGGTCACAGTTGGGTCCTGACTTTTAGAGTGCAGCGAATCAGCAACCTGGAATCTGACTGATCCAGTTAGCAGACCTCCCTCCTGAAGAGTGGGGCACAGGAGGTGCCCGTTCCCATTGGCTTCAGACTTCATTCTGAATCTACACAATTTTATTGCATTTTAATACTTCATTGAAATATAAGCATTATCCTGTATCACTAAAGATTAATAAACCTCATGTGTAAGAATCACTTAACATTCCATCCTACTGGCTGAGGGACTTCCTGTCACTGGCTGCCAATACTCATGTCTCTGACTCAACCCACAACCCTGTGGAAGAATGTATTGGTCGGCTGTATACTTGTTCTTTTGGATCTGGTGTGTGTTTGTGTGTGTGTGTGTGTGTGTGTGTGTTTTAAAGGTCAGTATCATATGATCCAGCAATTCTTCTGGGAACATACCCAGAAGGGTTGCAAGCAAGGATGTGAACAGATACTGTACCCCCATGCTCACAGCAGCACTATTCACAATAGCCAAAGGTGGAAACCACCCAAATGTCCATTGGCAGATGAATGGATAGACTGAATGCGGTAGCTGTAATGAACTGTCAATGTCTCCAAAAAGAAGGTGCTCTGACACTTGCTATGCCACGAATGAGCATTGAAGACGCCAGGCTAAGTGAGCTAAGTCAGGCGCGGAAGGGCAAGCGCTGCATGATTCCACACACGAGGTCGGTCCTGGAGTACTCAGGCTCACAGAGACAGAGAATAGGGTGGTGGGAAACGAGTGTCAGTGTGTAAAGGGGTCAGAGTTTCAGCTTGGAAGGACGATCGGTGTGTTAGCCACCTCTCATTGCTGTGATCAAAGACTGACAAGAGCAAGATAGAGAAGGGAAAGTTCTTTTTGGCTCATGGCTTCAGAGGTTTACTCCAGGGTCCACAGAGTCCATGACTTTGGGACCAAGATGAGACAGGACATCGTGCGGGAAGGGCATGGCAGAGGAGTGCTGCTCGGCTCAGGGCAGTCAGGTCAAGAAAAGGCATCGAACCACACCTCTGGATGTGAGAGGCTACCTTCATAGACAGGGAGGGACAGGACTGAGGCAGACTGTCAGAGAGAGTGCTCCTGGATGATTAAAATAAAAGTGCAGGCTGGGGTGTGGCTCAGTGGCAGAGGGCCCCCCCGCATGTGTGAGGCACCGGGTTCAATCCTCAGCACCCCATAAAAATAAATAAATAAAATAAGCTCTTGTGTCCATCTACAGCTAAAAAAAAAATTTTTTTTAGTGCAAGATGTCCTTGCATAGACATCTTGAGAGGGCCATAAAGCCCAGGAAGAGGGTGATGTCAAATATTTAAATCTTTGTGTGTCAATATAACTGGGCCTCCACATTAAGGCAGTGAGTCCAGGAGAGGAATAATAGGAATGGGCTGGAGTTGGGGTCACCATGCATATCAGGAGATGGGGATTTGGGGTCCTGTGCCTCCAGTCTAGTTGCCTGGGGCTTTGCTCTCATTAGTGGCTGAAACAGTAGGGGACAGGGTCAAATGAAAACGTAGCTCTGGTGCGGGTTGATTCTGAAGTGTTTCATCCCACAGTTCATTGAAGTAGCTTCATGCAGGGTTGAAGAATAAAGGACGTCTGTGGGCAGAAGCCTGTTAGAACACACCCCTCAAAATTAAGGAGGTCGATGGCTAGTGTGATCAGTGCAGACAAGCCAAGAGAGACATTGATTTCAAAGGTAATCCAGGTACCCTATGTATCAAGTCCCTCATGTGGCTGCTGTCCTCTGGGGGAACTCAGCATGTGCAGGGCAGGACAAAGGGCATCCTCCTGGGGTATAGTTGTGTTTAATATTAGTGAATTAAGCATAACTGTTAAGGCAAACACTGAGATATTCTTGTCTATTGTACAAACTGAATTATTAAGATAAACTTAACAATTCAAAAACGGTTCCCTCATTGGTGGCTCATTTTGTCTTAAGTGCCCACCCTGGTCAGTCTGACTCCTTGGTTGATGGTTCCCTGGCTGCTACTTGCTTGCTATCCCTGCTCCACCAAGCCAGTTCAGTTCTGCTTATTTTTTTGTGACTAGCTGGAGGCAGTACTGAGAGTGGGTAAGAGCACAGGCTCTGGGCTGCTTCCTTTACCAGCCAAGGGACTTTGGAGTGGCCCTACTACTAGCTGGCTTAATTACCATCTCTGAACCTCAGCTTCAGGTTTCAGTTTTCCTAAAACTAGGGTGAATACTGGTAGCCCTTTCATAGGTTGTGATGAAGACCGAATCGTAAGTGGTCCAATACATATAAATTAGCGTCATTATCATCTAGGAATACAGCATTTTGCTCTCATGTCTCTGAGTCTTTGAACATGCTAATTTTCTGTCTAGACTCATTTCCCTACGTTGCCACCAACCTTCCCTAAAAGCTCAATCTCCCTGTCACAACCCTGGGAAACTTGACCTAACCTCCTTCTACATGGCCTATCCCCCTGGTGACATTGAGGTCAGGGATTCTCTTGGCAGCCCTCTGCTCCATTCTCTCCTAGCATGTAGCCCACTGAACTCAGAGAAGTAATTGCTTCAAATGCTACACACACACACACACACACACACAATTATCTTGAGCCCTTGAGCTTTGGGAGGCAGGGGACTCAGTCTTGGAGAGTCAGTACAGTATAACGATGAAGAGTCTTGGGGAAAAGACCACCTGAGTTTAAATACTATGGATGCCTTTTCTTTGAGAGTTTGGGCAAGTTACTCAAACTTTCTGTGCCTTGGTTTGCTCATCTGTGAGAAAGGAGGCAATGACAGTGACCTGTACTGACGGACCCCAGGGCAATGTGGGCCCTGTGCTGTAAAGAGCCCTGTGTGACAACAGACTAGGACAGGAAGAGAAGGGGAGGAGTTTCCTTTGAATGTGGGTCTCAGCAGCCTCTTAGGTCATTGTACTAAATGGATTCATGCTCACCACATGCTAATGACCATAAGTGTTCACTGAATTTGTTAAGTGAATGAATCAATGACGATAGCAGGGAGAAAAAATTCTCAGTGTAAAATTACAAGGGCAGTGTTGGAAGGGGAGGGTCAAGTGGGAGGCCCTTGTGCTCCGCTGGATGGGTTTTAGGGTACAGATTGATGAGGACACGCAGGGATCGGGGCTGAATTGCTCTGCATAACAGCACAGGAGAATTGGGGGTGCCCTGGGGCGATCCTGGGGGATGTAGTAGGGAGGAGAGAGGGCAGAAGGGAAGAGTGATGGGGAAGTAAGAGAGCAGAGAGCCACGTGTGTGGTGCCACCTCGTGCAGCCACCAAATCTCACCAAACCCATGGACGCTACCTGTGAGCAGAATGGGTGCTTATGTGTGCATTAGTCTTGGTTCTCAGGGCAACAGAACCTGTAGTGTAGATTAGAGGAGATTCAACAGAGTTGGCACACGCGATTGTGGAGACCCAGAAGTCTCACCCCCAGCAGCGGCAGGCTGCAGACCCAGGAGAGCTGGTGGTACAATTCTATCTGAGGCCAAAGCCTGAAAAATTTGAAGCCACTCAAATTCTATTTGAGGTTAAAGCCCAGAGACTATGAGCTTTAAGGCCTAAGGGCCAGAAAAGGGTGCTTCCTCACAAGAGGCTAAAAGAGAACTTCCCCTTCTTCCTCCTTTATGCTCTAGATGGCCCCTCAAGGGATTGAGTGATGGCCCCCAATGTTGGTGAGGGTGGAACTTCTGCAGTCTACTGACTCAAATAATAATCTCTTCCAAAAATGCTCTCATAGACAGGTCAAAAATAATATTTTACCAGCTATTTGGGCACCCTTGAGACCAATCAATTGACCCTTAAAGAAACCACCCTCGTGTCTGCTTACCTGACTAAATCTGTTCTCTGTTGCTATGGCAGAATGCCACAGGCCAGGTAATTTATAAATAATCGAACTTTATTTGGTTCACACTTCTGGAGTCTGGAAAGTCCAAAAGCATTGTGCCAAAAGCATCTGGCAAGGGCCAGCATCCTAAGGTGGCAGATGGCAAGTGAGCATGTGCGAAAGGGAAAAGAAAACCTCACTTTAAAGGGGGCTCTCCTGTGATAACAGCATTTGTGGGGCAGAGCTCCCATGATCTGATCACCTCCTAAAGGCTCCATGCTTAATACTGCTGCAGGGGCATTTCAACTATATTGAACTTCCACATGAGTTTTGGAGGTAACATTCAAGCCACAACTCTCTCGGTGTGCACACACAAGGTGTGAGGAACAGCTTGCTTTCATGCTGGTCAGCAGGGTGTAGAACAGGTTCCACACACAAGTGAAGCCTAAGAGGATGAAGCAGCTCAGAAAAGGGGCACCCTGGACTTGGCCAAAGTTGCACAGGTAGGTGCTCAATTTCAAGAAAGTAGCAGTCTGATACCATCTCACCTGGGTCTCCCAGATGCAAGCGACCATAGCTGACATCTGAGTTACTGGAGTAGAGAATCCAACACTGATGTTCAGGGTCAGTCTGGAGCAGAGGACATGAGAACTGGCCAGGAGCTCACTGAGCCATGATCTCAGGGCAGTGCGGATTGAAGGGACACCACCAGGGAACCAGAAAGACCTGCTGATGGCCCTGGGCTTGGAGCCTGGTGAGAAGTGTAGCTGAGGGTGTGCAGAGAATGAGGAGGTGCCTCCTTATTACTTGATTTCCTTGGTTATCATCC